AGTTCTCTTTGTCCACCCTTGGCTGGACTATCGGGCTCACATATCCGGTCAATTGGCAATCATCCTCCTCTTCGCCTTGTCGAACTCTCAGGTATGCTCATCATCTCCGGCGCACATATATAAATGCAGTAGAGCCCATACGTAGTAAATCAGAGGGCTTCGGCAAGGCCAACTTTATTTGAGGATAAAAGATAAGAATCAAGTTGGTTGGGTATGTTGCTAGGAGGAGCATATCTAATACTAATTATGCATACACCTAGTAGTATTGATCATGTTAATCGTATTATAACCTAGAAGTACAGATGTTGGGTACGGAGGATTCATACCACCGTTTCACCAAACCCGATACCATTTGCATGAATGGATAGGCTATAAACCCAAGACAGCAAACGAATGACTATTCAACTTAAGACACTCTTCTCTCCGCACTACTGTTGAGAGAGCGTCTGTCTTACTTAAACTCTTATACTATACTTACTTAAACTCTTATACTATCACTACATGACGTGTCATGTTGTGAATATATAAACTCTATAACTTTCAACTACTTACATTAAACGGCTAAGATCATTGTTTGTAATAGTTTTGTAAAGGAAAATTAGTACGTGGAGCGGTGCTCATCTCAAATTAAAAGAAGAAAAGGAATCCCAGGCATGAGGCATCAGTGTTCAGTCAGTCAGGCACCTCGACGGCGAGACGGCGCGGCGCTTGGCGTGGTGATGATGGTGTGATCGCCGGTTAATTCGTCCACCCGAATATAATGCCGCCGTAGTGGAGTACTGGAGGAGGCACGTCCAAACGAACGAACCATTATTATTCCTTTAACCGCTCACGTGCGCGCGCAACCCCTTCGTTTCCCCACGCGTGGCGCTGATACGTAACCGGCCTCGGCGCCACTATATATCTGACGACGTCATCCTCCATTCTCCAAGCGGCGCTCGATCGCCACTCGCCTTCGATCTGCTTCGGTTTTCCACTCCACCACTCGATCGCCACCATGGAGCCGGTTGTCTCGGTCTCGCGCGTGCGGCGCCGGTCGCCGTCGTGGTTCACGGTGGACGGCGGCGTGGCGGAGGAGCCGCTGCTCCTGCTCGGGGCACCGGCGGACGGCGACGACGGCGGCGACCAGGCGCGGGCGGCGCTCCTGCGCGTGGAGGAGCTCGAGCACCTCCTCGGCGACGTGGCGCGGAGGCTGTCGCGGCTGGACGCCAAGCGCGGCAGGCTCGAGGGCCAGATCGCCGCGGCGTCCCGCGGCCGCAGGGGTGGCGGCGCTCATCATCGCCGTCACGGGAGCGCTGGAGGAATATCGGAGTCGGAGGGCGAGGGCTACACGCGGAAGGGCGCGGGCGCCGTCCGCAAGATTCTCAGGGCGGCGGCCGGCGACGTGAAGAAGGCGCGGGAGTGGCTGGAGGCGGTGGCGGGGAGGCTGGAGGCGGCGCTCGTCGACGCCCGCGAGCGCCTCGCGCTGCAGCAGATGCTGGCAGCCGGAGCGTAGTTCCAGCAACCGCGGCTATATATTAGTACTTACTTATCGAATGATACTGCATTAGCGTATGTGTAATCCCAGCTCTGTGCTTCTTTTAATTAGTTTTCTGTTTCATAGACTCTTCGTCGTGCATGCATATTCATCGACATTGTTGCATTGTCACTGTGACCTCTATGGCTCTATGTAATTAATGTTATTGGTTCCTCGTTTTTTAACTTGTTCTGCTCCCGTTCCGAGAGTTACTTGTTGTAGTATTATGCAATGTCAAATTGGTATATTGTATATGTCAATATAGGAAGGTGTTTGGTTCAAGAGAAAACCAAGGAGAAAACAAAGGAAAATTTTCTATTGGAAAATCTACTGTTTATGCGCTTGGAAGAAAGGAATATATGTCAATATAGGATGTTTTGTGGGTATAAAAAAATTGGTCTTCGATTGTGCGACCGGAGAGCAAGCTATTGTCTGTAATGGAGTTACATGCTTGAAATGGTAGCCAAAAATCTCTTGTTTCTCTTCGGATGGCATAGTTTCGCTTAGGCTTATTGATGAATTTAGGTAAAATTGGTTCTATAACATCAAAAGTTTTCATTTGTTGGTTTTGCAAAACCATAGTTTCGCTTAGGCTTGTTGATGATAAAATTGGTTCTATAACATCAAAAGTTTTCATTTTGGTTTTACAATACGAAATGTACTGAGCAATTTAATAGCACCAAAGTTGCATCCCGATCATGATTTTAGTTTCTCTTTCTAGAGAAAGGTATTTTTACCCGGGCTTTACATCCAACAGGATATATACAACCTTTTTAAAATTAGAAACTTAGTATTTCAAACAGGAACTTAGCCCTCAAATTAATAACCCAATCTGAAATTCGCTCCTACGAAGATTTGAACTAAGGATCTTAGGGTGCTACTCAGGTCGCTGTAACTTAGTCCTGATTTTAGTTTTGTGGCCGGTGCCGATGAAAAAAGTATACTTCTTACTACTACTATTACTATTCTAGCGTGTATGACAGACTAGTTCCTCTAAGGCTGGATGGATTCAGTATGTTGTTTGTCTCAGTTTTTGCATGTTGGGATTGTCCAACACCTATTTTTATTCCTACTGTACTCTTGGCTAGATGTGCTACAACACAGACAGACAGGAGAAGTATTACTCATCTTCCATTGTCTAAGAAAAAGGAACGGAGGGATGCAAAATATAGTGGGATTATTCCTATAAAGTACTTTTGCGCACAAAAACATCCGTTAGAAGCCAGTGTTTTCTCTTCTTACGCTAAAGAGTGAGATGAGAGAGAAAATTCCTACACTATAGATCTTTTGGAAAACATGATTTTGAAAATGTAGGAACAAGAAAAACATTTTCCACGAATATGATGGAAGTGAATCCATGGGATAGATTTTGAAAAAAAAAAACTCGTCGTTCGGTAGCACTATAGGAAAAACATATGAAGTTTGAGAGACGGAGAGAAAACATTATAGGTCTTGTCTCTTCGTAATTTTTCTTCAAGATTCATATGAAATGAGCAATTCCATAGGAATTTCAAAAGATCGTGTGAAGGTATTAGTCCACTTTACACCCTTCAACTATTACATTTGTCTAAAATACACCATCAAACTTCAAAATTAAACCGGGTATCTAATACCCCTCAATTATTAAAACCATTAGACTTACCCCCCCCCCCCTCGTTCCAAACCAGGCAATTTTGGTTTACGTGGCATCTGACGTGGCAGTCCAGTTAGCGAAAAAATATAAAAAAACTATAGGGGCCCATCTGTCAGTTGCTAAAATATCTCTCTTTCTCCTCTTCCTCTCTCTCTCTCAATCTCATATTTCCCCTCTTGATCCCGTTTCTCGAGTGACGACACACAACGGCACAGAAGCGCCGAGCGCCACCGCCGCTGCCAGAGTCCTCCCTCTGGACCACCGCCACCGAGATCCTCCGCGAGACTGCCGCCACCGATCGATGTCCTCCTGAGTCCCGAGGTACACCACCCGATTTCGACCAGCAACAGAGACCAACGAGAAGAGGACGGATGCCGCTGGATTTTGTCCTGCTCCTCCCTGCATCAAGTATGAGACCCGCCACCCCTGAGAACCTCCACCGATCCATCGCCTCTAGGTGCCGCTGCTCCACCCCTACACTGCCGCGGTGCTACCTCACGAATCTACTCGAGGCTTGGCTGGCAACGATTCCTCATCCTTGAGTAAACGGCGATGGCAGGGGAGTGGCTTGGCCCTCTCCGTCTCAACCTCCTCCTTCGAGCTCGCGGTGAAAGGGGATTTTGGACTTTATGCCATCTTCCCAACGCCTCATTCCCAAATGCCATCCTCCTGAACGTCCTCGCTAATTTGCCACTAGGCCCCATAAAATTGTTGATTCTATGCCATTTTCTTCCCATTTTGATGCCACATCAGCAGCGGACGTGGAATCTCGATGGCGAATTGGCCGTCTTGCCCCTGGTGTGTGTGGACAAAAAAAAAAGCGAGCAGCAGCCGTCTCCAAATAAGCCACAGCAAACAAATAAGATTCTCAGCGAAGAAATAAAGCAGGGATTTTGGATCTTGCCACGATGGGCACTCAGACAGAACCATGGCTTCAACAAACCCTAGACCATCAGATCTAAAAAAAACAAGTGAATCCGGAGAAAAAAGTGAGGGAAACAGATGCCAAACTAAACCAAAAGAGGGGAAGATGGTGGATCTATCGATCTCATGTATGTGATTGGTGTCACGGTTTGGCCGCCGTCGCCAGTCGGTGGATTCATCAGCTGCTACTCGCGTTTTTTTAGGGTGGCGGAATGAGACGACGAGAAACGACACGTTTTTCTGTTCACGCGTGCCAAGGGGTACCGGTGAGGTGGAGTCAAAATTAGAGGATAATGGCATAGAATCAACAATTTTGTGGGGCCTAGTGGCATATTAGCGAGGACGTTCAGGAGGGTGGCATTTGGGAATGAGGCGTTGGGGAAGATGGCATAAAGTCCAAAATCCCCAGTGAAAGTAGCTCGGCTAACTGCGAGCCCGCCAAGGAAGTGGCGTAGGTGGCATCAACCTAGCGGTGGAGGCGGTATAGGCGACGTCAAGATGGCGGTGGAGGAGGCGCAAGTGACAGCAAGCTGGCTGTGGAAGCATGCGAGCGACAGCAAAGATTGCGCTGGAGACCCAAGGTAGCACGTGCAAAGTATATAGGGAGGGTTGAAGATGGCAAACTAGGGGATAGCTGACATGTAAAAAAAAATGTTGCCATGAAAACCTCCTGGTTTTGATAATTGAGGGGTGTTCGATACCTGGTTTTGAAGTTTGAGGTTTGAAGGGTATTTAGATAAATGTAATAGTTGAGAGGTGTAAAATGGACTTGTACGTTTTGTGAACCTCATTATTTTGTTCCAAGGGATTCTAATTTTCCTTCTAATTGCTATGTTATCTTCCAAGCCTTCTAAACAAGGTCCTAGGAATGTTGTATGGGCCTAAAAATAGGCCCACGGATACTAAACATCATGCTCCCCTAAAAAGCCCACCAAATGAGTAGTCTCCCATTCTGACCCTTCCTCCCGTCGCCGACGCCCTAAACCCCGCAAGAAACACCACACCTCGCCGCCGGCGACCCACCGGAGAGCGGGCAAGCCAGCCTCCCGCGCCGCCCACCCCATGGCGTCCCGCCGGTCGCTCCATCTCCTCACTGCCTCCCGCGGCATCTTCTCCACCCCGCACCTCGCCTCCCTCGGCTGGTTCGACAAGATCAAGAGCACCTTCACCGGCAAGAAGCCCGACGAGGCCACCGACCCCTCCGCCAACTTCACCCTACTCCGTGAGTGAGCTCTCCGGACGCATATGCCCTGTTCTCTTCTCTTCTCTTCTCTTGGTGGCGGCGTGGGTGATGGCCCTCCTGATTCGGCTTCTTGTTTGGTTTTTTGGGGGGAGATTCTTGCAGAGTTCGCGGATTCGATGGAGAAGGCGAGGAAGCTGGGGACGTTCAAGAACTTCGTGATGGGGCGGTGCAGCGAGGCCACCGTCGTCAACGCCTTCGAGAAGCACTCCGCCGTCCTCCGCTACCTCGGCACCATCGACCCCACCGGCGAGGTAGGCAAGGATCGATTGCATTCGATTTTTTGCGTTGCGTTGCGTGGTGGTTGTGTTGATTGTGTTGCTTTGCAGAAACTCAAGAACAGCGACAAGATCGGTGCCACCAAGCACTGCAACTGCACGATTGCGGATGTGGAGCACATACTGGCCAAGTACACATGGGCTAAGGAGGCTCAGAAGAAGATAGTAAAGCTCAAAGAAGAAGGGAAGCCGTTGCCGAAGAACTTCAATGAGGTAATTCCTGGTCTTGAAAGACCAAAGGTGTTATTAATCTAGTTGTTCACTACACATTTTAGAGATGCCTGTTATGACCGTTGAAAGGAACATAATTGGGAACAGATAGGAATTGGGAAGAAATATAATAGATTGAGAAAATTTGATGTATTTGTCTATTTGAGAAATATAAACCTAAAAGCATAAGGTATTAAAGTCAATATCATGGCCCACATATGATGGTACTACTGCGCTCTGTGATTTTTTTCAATGGCACTAAGCAAATTGGCCCCCTAGGATTTCTGTATGCCAAAATATGAATGAGGTCAGTGCAGAGATATCATTTTCTCTAGTGTTTACCATGTATCTGTGTAGAATCCTAATTTGTGATCAAAGTGGCAAAAGCTACTTTCAATTGTTGTAAATGATTTTCTGAACAATATTTAAGGAGAGAGTAAAAAATGTGGTATGTGTTTCGATTAAAAGACATGATAGAAGTTAGTGATTCATATTACTTCTTACATATATTAGATATCGGTATTACAGGATGCTCGATTTTGAATGTTGGATTTCAGCTTGTCCAAATTATTGTCATCTTGAATGCGACATTATGCCATATAATCTTTCAGTCATATTGAATCATTTTAATCATATCATGCGTGTAGGTGAAAAACCTAATGGGTTCTACACCACTGGACGTTGGCAGATCTAATCTGGAAAAGAGTGGACAGATAAGTAGAAATGCTATGTGCCCCTGTGGTTCTAAGAAACGATATAAAAAGTAAGATGCTTCTGAGCTTGATTCTGTTGGTAACAGTGTTTGCATTGTGGTGCTGCTATTCTTTGATTGGCTATATTTCCCCGGTTCCTTGATTGGCTATATTTCCTCATTGCTCTGACTGCAATAGTATCTTTTACAATTATAATGAGGACAATTGTTCTATTTAGTATACACATGGCTCTTGCTATTTGGAGTATTTAGCAAAAGATAGATCAAGATTAATGGATTTAAACTTTCCAATATGTGCATTGTCCTGTAAATTTTAACCTATTGCCAATCTTGAATAGAAAGATACATGTCTCAATCCTATATGCTACAAAATTGGAAGCTACCACAATGTTTGTGCATTTCATCTAAATGGGTTGTTGCACTATTTATCTATTAAGGAAATAAAAACTAAGAATGTAATAACTCTAATGGTGCAAACCAGATTTAGTTTTATATATTTATAGTGTATAGTGTATTTCTCGCCCATATTGTTTTGACATTTCCCTTTTGCTGCCTTGAATTTGAAGGTGCTGTGGAGCTTCTTGAAGTGAAGACCATGTTTTCCTTTGTGCTGACCACATGAAATATTTTGATTAGCCATGATCAAGAAGAGCATTCCTCTCTTTTTTTTTCACTTCAGCAGCAATGCAGATCATCCTGCCACAAACCTGACATTGAAATATGTAAAGCACCATAACTGAGGTTTGCATGACTGAGTTTTTTTTTTGCCAAAATTGCATTACATCTAAGCCGGCTTTGTTGTTAAATTTGCTTGTTTATATAAGAAGTCATGGAAATATCCATCACATTCTGCGTAGAAAGCCTGAACTTTGTTCAAGCAACGCCCGTAGATCAATTTTTTTTTTGGTTTATGGGTACATTACTAAGTCGAGAGATGCACTATACATGATGTATCCTGAAGCTGGTCATTCCGTTTGTTTGGGAAAGTAGCATGTGAATACTGATGCAATTCAGGACCCTTCATTGACATTCCTAAGTCCTATAGAATATGGAAAAATTTTGAAAATATATTTTTTTTCATTGGTGTTACATCAATATACACGTTTAAAAGAAATTTATGAAAGTATACCGTTGTTGCAAGGCGGTGCCACGAGATCGCAAGATTCGCCATGGTCTCGCAGATTGAGGGCATCAGACCGCGCGACCGCTCGACCTTGCGCGGTAAGTGCGCTAGACCGCGATAGAGAATTCAAACTAGCGCGATTAATACATTACTCATTAGCAATTAATTAATTAATATCATTTCTATAATTAGCATTATTAGTTATAAATAATTGCTAATTAGGATAATTAGTTACTAATCATTCTAAAGCGGTGTCGCTGTTTGCCCCTTCGAGACTTGGGTGGTGGTTGGATCCAGGTACTCACATACGATGACGGTATATTTGTGCTAGAAAAATTACATCCCGGATATTCTGAAAAAATAAATGAACAGTATATTTTCAAATTTAATTTCTATAGAATATTGCAGCTCTACGATAGCAGACAGAAAAGACAATGCCCCACAGAAATTTTAATCATGCAAAACTTTTCTTTGCTCCAAGGTAATTTTAAACATACAAAACTTATCTTCTCTCAAAATATGCCAGCTACAGTGTCATTCGCTCCTTAGGGGGGAGAGGATATCTAGTTATCTAGATAGGGGAATCACTGAATTGGCAGTTGACCCAACCAGAAACCGCAAAACATGTTCTAGACTTCCTAGTCCTATCTTCACTTGGTAGGCCGATCCCATGTCGTCTCTGATGTGAGGCTGTTCCCGTAGTACACCTGCTTTGTAGATTCATCCAGGTATGCCTGCCAACAATGGAAAAGTCAGCACTTCCATTTTAACGAACGTAAATGTTAAATAAGCAAGGCTATCATGGCACGATACTGGAGCAGAGAATACGTGAACTTGGTCCTCAAGACTTTCTTTTAGTGTGTATTTGAATTGTCATCAGAAAATCAAGTTGCATGCTGGATTTTATTCTAGACGTATCTCTAGTCATTGGAAGGACACTGGGATCTGAAGGAAGGTTGTTACCACGAATATGCTCCAGAGGTTGGAGCTCGGTGCTTTACCCATGCTACTAACAAGCCAGTCTTTGTGCAACTGAACTTCAACTGTAATCACATCTCTGGTGAAGAGATTGATGAGGTGAAGGATGTTCTGAGTGGTAAAAACTCGAATTAGCTTGTTAGATTAACTAGCTCCTATCTTGTTCTCGAATTAGCTTCAAAATGTTTCGCTTGCCAGGTTGAATTTTCTTCAATTTACTCCATTTAATATAGGTTGAGCTCAACTAGTCACAATAGAAACAGCAGTAAAAATTGTACTAACCTGCCATCCAGAAGGAAGACCCTTGCAGAGCTCTGCAAGATCAGGTTGTCCTTTATGCAGATCGGTGACACTCACTGGTGCAGAAATAGTCTCGCTATTTGCCTCCTTTTTTGCTTCCGCTCTCCTGCGTTTCACACGATCACGCCTGCACAAAATATTTGCTCAAACTGAAAAACCCGCAATATATGCAACGGAAAAACCCACGTACTCCCTCAAAACATTGGTAGTTGGGTTCCCAATTCCCAGTTAGTCAACAGTTTTCCATTGCATACCTAAATCTATAGCATTTTGTTGTAGAAAACTTAAAACTTGCCATATTATAAACTAAACAGTTCACCAAAAAAAAAGCATAAAGGACATGTAATCTTAATTTGTACAATGGTGGCATGATTCAAGGTCTACCCACAACTTATGTCAAGGCAAATCAACAACTATTTTTAGACATCCCATCTAAATAGTTGAAAAGATATCGGAATCCAAAAAGCTTTTAAAGTTCGAATTGAGACATGTCCAATCATTTCTCCAATACCAGAGTATAAGATATATAGGCATATGGCCAAGTTCCAGAAACCAGCTGGAGGTCTAATTGGGCATCTCCGAGATGGTTTCCAGCTGTTTCAACAAAACACTCCATATTGAATCCAACAAACTCCAAAGGAAACTAACTAGCCCAAAGCAGAAGTTCAGTTTTTTGGCAGTCATCAAACCAGCTATCACTGGTAGCAACCACAGAACATTGCTCAACTGGCAGAGGTTTGGCCGCACGAATCAGACATTACCTATACCTATTTCAAGTTGGAATAAAATCCTTATTTGTTGTGTTTGGTTCAGGAGGTGAGTTGGGTTGCACTCATCCATGTTTTTGGAATGGGATGCCCCCATCCATCCATCCATCCCAAACAGAGGCAAAGCATGTGTTTTGATTGAAGTGATGGGATGGGTCGGGTCGTGAATCCACTTGTCAGGGTGTTTGGTTTGGGGACAGGTGAGATGGGATGATTCCTGAAAGGGAATATTCCCTCTAGATCTAGGTCAGCTTCATACCTCGAAAACTGCTACACCGTCCAATAGTCCAATTTCTCAAAAAAATAGGATCATTCCATCCCTTGTGCCAAACACATGGATGGGACCATCCCATCCCATAAAAACAGGGATGGGTCTAATCCATGCCACCTCATCCCCAAACCAAAACATTAAGCATGTGTTTGGTTCCAGGGATGGAGTGGGTTGGGTTGGGTTGGGTCGAACCCATTTTTCAAGGTGTTTGGTTTGAGGATAGGTGGGATAGGATGATCCCTAAAAAGAAATATTCTCCTAAGATCCGGGTTGGATTGGTCCCTCAAAAATTGGCGGACCAATCCATCCCACTTTTCTGTCTCATTGACATGTGGGTCATCCCCGAAAACTAGGATCATTTTCCATCCCTCATGCCAAACGAATAGATGGAATGATCCCGTCCTAAAAAGAAGGATGAGTCCAACCCATGACCCATCCCACCTCATCCCCAAACCAAACACATCCCAAGGGATGGCCTATCAATGAGAAAAATGGGTTGGATTGGTCTGCCCTTTTTAAGGGACAAGGGCAACCCGGATCTCAAGGGAATATTCTCTTTTAGGGATCATCCCATCCCACCTGTCCTCAAACCAAACACCCTGAAAAATGGGTTCAACCCAACCTGACCCATCCCATCACTTCAACCAATTATTTGCCCCTAACTGTCACATGACATGGATGGATCCAATGAAACATCAAGGGCAAATAAGAGATCACATGAAGTTGACAGGGGCAAATAAGGTCATCCTTTACATCATCTATTTACTAATCTAATTACATTAGTTTGCTATACCTCCAAAAAATGTTCATACATAACTTTTTTTGTAGTCATACACATGCAACCAAAGTGAAGTACCAAACCCTCAAAAGCAGGCAGCTAAAACATATTAAGCTAGTGTACATTACAAAGAACAAATGATTATCATATGAAAAATACAAACAGATATCAGATATGGTAATACTGCAAACACAAGATAAAACAAAATAGCCATGACAGCAGTCAGAAGTAATATGTGGTAGGTCTTAACTAGTATTCTGGTAAGTTAATGAAGGTATTAAAATCAAACTATCATATAGTAAGGAAACAATACCAGTCACCACCAAGGGGAACAAAATTGGCATTTTCCTGAGCTTCTCCGCTGGCTATCTGTTGCTTGCGCCACTCCTGAAACAAATGGAAGGAACATAAATGAATTGGCAACTTCAAAGATATTTCATGTATGTGATGTCAGGCGAAAGAGAAGTTTACATCAATATCCTTTTGACGCTTTCTTTCTAATGCGTCCAAAGCACTTTCTGGCTCTTCATCCTCCTCATCACGAAGCTCCTCCTTAGCAGCTTTCCACTATTATAAGAAAATACACAAGCAGTTGTGTTAGCAAAGTGAAATTGGTGGAGGAATAAGTATATGCACATCAATACTCACCTCATTTTATGCCTTACCATGTAAACAGATTGATCTGCCTTTAAACTAAGAAATGGTGAAATGAGAAAAATAAATCAGGTAGCACATAGTTAATATGTTTTCAGAATCTTTTTCAGCATAACCTCTATTTGACAGAAGGAAATAAACAAGTTTAAGCTGCTCTAGTTCTTTGTTGGAAGAGGCAGTTGAGGACTTCACAATCTCCATACACTTCATCAGGTATATATACATAAACAATTAGCAATTACACATGTTGTGAACAGATATGATGCTTGGAAACAGTTATAGGAGGCTCATCGTAGAGAGCTACCTTATCCACCAGACTTGAAACCTTCTTATTAGACCTCAGTGATGTTGCAACAGAAACAGCTCGCTTCTTGCTACGAACAACTGCAAAACACAGCAAAAGGTTAAACAATGTTTTCCATGTAGGAACCATAAACAAGATAGTATATTAGTTTTTTTATGAGGAATAACAGAATTACCTTTGCTCTGACTTGTGGTACTTGTAGAAGCCTGTGCAGAACTTCCCTGTATGGATGCTGATGCTGATGTTGCTCCCACAGGTTGGCTCAAAGATGCAAGTTTTGCCTCCTTGGATATGATGTTGTCAGACTCCCTGGAATGCAAACTACTATTCGCAGGAGCAAGATTGGAAGAGCTTGTTGTGTTATCTAATACACTGCTAGAAGTGGCAGAGACTGATGCCGCGTAGTATCCAGAAGGCTCAGCTGCTTCTCCAGTGGCAGCCATAGTGACTGAAGGATAGCTATAGTAAGAAACAGGTACTGGAGCAATAGATGTGGCATCAACAGGAATAGATATGCCACTTGCAGATACTGGTGCATAGTAACCATTCTGGTGTGCTTGAACGACATGAGGCTCACTCGTTTGCATATAATAGCTGGCATGTGTACCTTCTGTACCTGCAGCAGCATAGTACTCCATTCCAGGAACTGTATAGACCAAGTTTGCTTGATCGACATAGGACTGTGGAATTGTTTCAGTAGAAACAGATGACACAGCAGGTTCTTCAGGAGGAGGTGGAGGAGCTGGTTCATTCTCAGGTGGTGGAGGTGGAATCCATTCATCTTCTGGTGGTGGTGGAGGAATGTCGCTATCCTCTAGGGGTGCAGCTGAACCGTCCAACAATAACAAAGCCGGTGACTGAACTTGCTCTGATGGAGGATATTCCTTAATAGGCGTGGAATTCGAGTGCTTATGCTCTTCAACATTGTCATCGTCAACCTCCATATCCACATCCATATCTTCATCATTGTCGGATTCAATTTTTGATGGGACTGTTGTGGTATCATTTTCTTCTGATTTCTGAATGGATGATGTTGAAAATGGCTCCTCATTTTTAACATTTCCATCCATCATAACGTCAGTGCTCACCTCAGATTTCAAACCCTCACCATTGGAGGGTGGCATCATCACTTCAGCTTCATTAGGTGTTTTGTGTTCTGTGTCTGCTTTCTCTGGATGTCTAGGTTCAGTGGTAGAGTAACTAGTTTCCAATTTGGAAACTGAGAATTCTAGTTGCTTAAGGTGTACCTCAGCATGCAACCACAATGGAAGCAAAGAAGATCCATACGATGAAAGTGCATTGCAGTCTGATATTCGTATCTCAATTTCTCTTTTTAGCAATTCAACATTGTAAATGGAACCATGCAACCTACAACAGAAGCATGACAAAAGTTTAGTTATACAGTTCAAGGTGTGGAAAAATGCTTGAAAGAGGAAGTAAATGGCAGAAAAATAATAACAAGCACCTTTCTAGCGGCTTCAATCTTTGCAGCAATTCCTCGCCATATCTTGCAAGCTGCAAAGGATCAATGTCCATCGATTCATGACTAGTGACAGCTCCAGCATAAGCATAAGCATCATGAGTAGGCTGTCCCATTCCCAAAGTAGCATAAGCCACTGAGCCATTTAGCACAGATATATCACTTGGATAAGCTTCCACGGCATTGTGGGTAAGGGCATGTGCTTGGGCCTCCATAGAGTAGTCTACATGAGTAGGAGCAGATGCAGAAGTGACACTGTCAGCTGCAATTTCAGAAGCTAATACATTAGGAATCTCCCAAGAGGTTTCTCCAGTAACTGTGTTCCAATAGTAACACTGGTTGCTCTGCTCATGCATTATAGTCTTCCAATTCCCACCAATGTCACCAACAATTTGCATCCCAGATGAGTCAGGAATAGCTTCAGTTGCTGTTGCAGTCCCATCTTCCAGAGTTGGCTTTATGGCAACAACATTTTCTTCAGCAATATTTCCAGTGCACTTCTTATCATCAGCTTCAGTTAACTCTTGTTGGACATTAGCAGAACCAGCCAGATCACTTTGTGCATCACCTTCATTCCTAGTCAAGTCCCCACGTTCATGAGTAATCTGAAACAAGCAAAGTAGTGTTACCATGAGGCCAGGTGTGTTCAAACTCTTCAATAATAAAATCAATTCTCAAGCCAAAGAGATATAGTTGACAACATTGCTTCCTATAGTGGCTAGTGTACAGGAAAACAATATTGCTAAGAATAGGCCAAGGGCCTGTTTGGCATGGCTTCTCCTGGATTCTTGCGGAAAATAGAGTTTGCAAACTGAACAATGTAATTTAATCATCCAACGGTAGACTCAAATGTGTGAACAAAATGTCTCGCCCTAACAGCATTTGGGCCCAGCTCCAACTCCAAGATTTGTTGGAGCTAGAGATATCGAACTCCAAGTCTCCAACAATACTAGAGAGTAGCTGTACCAAACAGGGCGGCTTGTTGGCCAAGCAAGCCCCCCCCCCCCCCAACAACACACACACACAACAAAAGCTAGCTTATTATAAGCCATTTCATAGGCTCCAGCTTATTTGTTGCTTTATATAGTACAAAACTAGCATAAGCTTAAGTTCAAGAGCCCATAAGATAAACCAAAGCTGTAGATCGACCCAAAGAAATGGATAAAGAGAAGCCAAAATGAAAGGTAGAATTACCTTATCACCTGCATCTGCAGGATTAGCCTCTGTTTCATCATTGGGTTGATCTGCTGCTTCCTCTTCCTCTTCATCATCACTATATTGCCCAAGCAACGCTAGAGGATTCTCCTTCTTATCTGGAAATAAGAATGGATCAGTAAAATTGCAATAGCTTGCATGTGGCAATCTGCATTGCACTTTATTCTGAAGTATATATGAAGATACACAGTATTCGAGTATAATAGAAGTCAAACAAGTGGTATATATAGGTTAAAACTATGTTACATGCAGTATATCAGCCTGGCAATAATATAACAACCAGGTTAGGAGATGAATTATAGAGAAAGAGACATACGAACCGAGGAGGCAACAATCACATTCTGATCCGCACGCTTAGAGGCTGCCAAAAGAGAAATTACCCATAGGCATTTACTCAATTTTGACAGTAGCAGCCCGGTTTGAAGAATTTACTCAATGTTCCTTGCAGGCCGGAACCCTACATGTGCCTCAACCATATATGTGGAGCATATATATGCTTGTACAAAAATTCCAAATTTCCACCAAATTTAGGTTCCACAGGCATGTCTTCTTTACAAATCCCTTGGAAGGAAACTGATGAAACCCACCTGAAGAAGATGGTGAAGTGGGAACCCCAGTTTGTTGGTCATGGTTTTCCCCTCGCTCTCCCTCTTTCGAAGGTGTTCCCCCTGCAAAATACCGTAGCAGCAGTCAGCTTTTCATCAAAAATATCTATCCCAAAATATATCAGAATGCCTCTGGAGGCATGCTAATTTAATATCTCTTACATATTAGGTCGCTATACTGTTACTACTTACAAGCACGTATTGCTACCCTAATTACCCCTTTCATCGTTAAAAAACTAGGAAGAGTATCCAAGAACTACACCTCTACTATATAAACGTTGATTTAATTTGTTTATCGACCTTCCTTCCCTTAACCAAACCTAAACTTTTATTTGCTCTGACTGCTATATGAGGTTTCTGCCCCCTCCCATTTCACATGTTCAAAATTTGGTTAGTTCAATATAAATTCACCTCTGCCTTCACCACCGAACCTTTTCATTGCCCAAGCTATCGCCGCAACCCAACCCTATTTATTCTTTTTTAAGGCAAAAACATCAGAAGCACCATTTAAGTTATATTTATGTGTTTATGTGCAGCTTTTATACATGATTTTGTGTTATCTAGGTTCAGTGCAGTTTCACTTGTCCCCGTCCAACGTATTTATTGTCGTTCCTTGGATGTTGACACTTATCTTCTCTTCTCTTCCTAGTGTTTAAACATGATGATAATCCATATTTTTGTTTCAGATTTGGCCAGTTCAGAAGATGTGCTGGATATATTTATTTCCAAATGTGGCGAACAATTGTGCCCTTTGGTATTATTAAACCTTATTAGTCAACACTTTGGATAACTGCTTAGATACTGCTGACTCAAAGCCTAACAGGCTGACCATTTGTCAGTTAGGCACTTCATCCTCCTTTCAAATCCATATCGTGTGCTACCTCCAGATCATACATACTAGAAACAACCAAACAACATATTCCAAACCCATCCGCACGGATCAGACAGCCCTCAGGTTGAGTTCAGGATTAGCTTCGAGCAGTGGGGGATGGACCGATCCACGCACCAAACGATAATAAGTAACCACAAGACAAAAAACAATCTCGTGCTGCCCGAATCAATCAAGCTCGATCGAAAAGCGTAGCCCGCCTACAAATCTAGCACTAGTCACGAATCAACCGCTCTCAACCATCAGCTATTCCCTAAAATCAATCAGGCGAGCGAGAGACTAATCACGAACGCACGCCGCGATCGATCAGAAAGCGAACGAGATCGCCCCCCCCCCCCCCCAGATTTTTCGAGAGGCCGTAGGACGACTCACCGGGGGAGGGATCGAGGAAGAGGTCGAGCTTCACCCTGCGGCCGCCCGCGGCCGCCTTGGCCGCAAGGCGGCGCTCCTTCCTCCTCCCCATCGCGCGGCGCAGCGGGCGGGCGAGCGAGTTTTCTCTCTCCTGTTTTCTTTTTCCTCCTCCCCTAGGGTTAGGGTTTCGGAGGCCGTGAGATGGGGAGGAGGCGAAGACGAAGAACGAAAGGGAGGGGTCTCGTGCTCTCTCGTGTTTGGAAAGGAGAGGAAAGCGAAGCGGGGTAGGGCGGCGAGGCGGTTTCGATGTGCGCGAATCGTAAAGCATGGGGTATATATATGGGCTTCAGAGTCCAGAAGAACTCGCTTATCGTTGGGCCTAGTAGTAGGGAATAAGTTCACTTGACGTCCCTCGACTTCATGTCGAGTCTGTCTAAAGTCCCTAATCGCAATACCAGAAATTTCTACCCCTCAATTATTACAAACTGTGCAAAAAAAAAAAAAGTCCCAAGGCAGTATTGACCCAATTTTTCCAGGTTTCGCTGACATGGCATACAGTGGGCACCACATGTCTGTGTCATCTCTTCTCTTCTCTTTCTTTTCTTTTTCTTTTTTCTTCTTCTCTTTTCTATCATCTTTCCTTTCGTCTCCTCTATTCTCTTCTTCAGCGAGACTGAGAGGCTAGCAGACGAAGCAGGCAGGGGTCGGCGCAGGCAATGACTACGAGTGCAAAAGAAACATCAGTAACTTTAATAATCCTCAAGTTTCTAAATGATAATCAAATTCATAGTTAAGCCGTTGTTGTGTTGCTCTTCTCTCTCGCGCATTTCATCGAGCATCTCTCTGGCCAACGGCAAGATCTTGGCCTTCCACTCCCGGAAGTCCGCCTCGAAGCCCAACCGCTCCATTCCCATCACCATCACCATGTACATGTACTTGTCCACCTTGCAGCCTCCCATCCTCACCGCCACCTCGTACACACTCCGCCCCGCGCGCGTCTTCGCCCTCACCACCAGCGTGCGCACCAGTTGTACATGTCCTCCTCCCCCCTCCACGACCCCGTTGCCTTGCTCCTTCTCCTCTAGGAACGCCTCCACAAGCGCATCCACGGCAGCGGTGGTGCCGTCCTCGGTGACCGGCGAGGAGGACACAAACGTGGCATAGAGGGTCAGGTTGGGGCGTTACCAAGGCTCGGCGCGGGCAACGTGGAGCGTGGAGAGGGCGAAGGACCAGTAGCCCTGACATTGGAGCTCGGCCATGGCGGTGAGGAGGTCTCTCTTGAGGAGGAGGCCGTGAGAGGTTGAGGCGGCGGCGACGGCCGGGGAGCGGTTAGAGTAGGTGAGTCACTTGAGGGATTGCACGGCGAGGATGGCCTCCATAGATAGGGAGCAGTCGCGCTGAAGCGGGCCACAGTTGATGCGCCCCGCCCCTGTCTACTTCGCCTCCCACCCGCTCTCGCGCTCGCCCACCATCGTCCTGCCCGCCGGCTCCTAGTCTCGCTGAAGAAGAGAAGAGAGGAGACGAAAGGAAAGAGGAGAGAAAAGAGAAGAAGAAAAGCGAAAAAGAAGATAAGAGAAGGGAGAACGCTGACATGTGGGGCCCACCATATGCTACGTCAACAAAACCAGGAAAATTGGGTCAATATTGCCTCAGTGTCTTTTTTTGCATGGTTTGTGATAGTTGAGGGGTAGAGATTTCTGGTATTGCGGATTGAGGACCTCAAATGGTAGCAATTACTATTCTAGCCCATTTAAAATCCCACGCAAGCATGTCACATCTTCACTCACTAGCAATTACGCATCATTTACAATATTATATTATAGAGATCAATAAAATTATTAGAAGTTAAAGCTCACATGCAAGTATACCACATCATCACCCACTAGCAATTATTATTCTCGTCCATTTAAAATCCCATGCAAGCATGTCACATCTTCACTCACTAGCAATTACAAATCATTTACAATATTATTGTCAACGTTTAATGTCGCGGCGATTCCGGTATTTGCATAGTATGGGGATCGTTGGTACCAGATATATGCGAGACTTAGGTAAAAGAGATGGGGACGAGGATTTTTATACAAGTTCGGGCCCCTGAATTGTTAGGTAATAGCCCTACATCCTGTTGGCCGAAGCCGGTCATTGCTCTTATTCACCATAATCACACCAGTACAATATTTGGGGTAGCTTATCTAACCGTCATCGACTTGGCGGCCGGATCACCAACACTAGTCGACGACGGGGTAGTCTTCCTCCTCGAATCAGCATTCAGCGAGGTCAGAGATAGCGCTAGATTCCTCTCTTTGGTTCCTGTAGGTACCATATGGGGTTTTCCTAGGCTTATCTCTGATGTCGATATCTGGCAGCTTGTCTTGGCGTATGTTGGCTTGTATGTTGATCTTGTGTCTTGATCTATTGTTCCGTGTCCCCTCTCCTCCTAGGGGGCCTTGTATTTATACACATAGGTGTCCACTTGTCCAAGTAGAACTAGGAAAACCAATATAGATACGATCCGAGTAGTACTTGTCGTTTCCATGTAGAACTCTATTCATCCTTCCTTATGCGGAACTCCTCCTATATCCGAAAGTTGTTTCCGTATAAGACATGGTATGTGGTGGGTCCTACCGAGATTTAGTCAACTACTATTAGGTATGTGGTATCCATAACCCTGACAATTATATTATAGAGATCGACAAGTATGTGTCAAATCATCTTCCTCACATTATTTTCTCAATATTTCAACTTTCACTATTTCGATAATATTTAACCTATACTTATTCATGAATTCCGCAGCAAAGCACGGGGTATCACCTAGTTCTATATGTGAACACAACAAAACATTAGAGACAATTAGCTATTTTATTTATTGCTGACTAAAAACAATAGTTCAGCCACCTAGGAGAATAGGAGAACAACCACCAAAGCACAACGGTTGCGTACCAAACAAGTTATGAAGCTCACATCTATACTATCTATATAGTTGATGCCCACTAACTTCTAAAACATAATATGTAAGTGTGACACATCATTACTCACTAGCAACACTTAGAGTATTTTAAATATCATGCAAACATGACATATTGTTTACAATTTTGTTATATTTTTAGAACTCAATATGCAAACAATGTTAAACGATTAACTCCACATCATTTTTTATTATTTAAACATGAACATTTACCATTTTTATAATGTATAACATGTATTTACCACATATCCCGCAACAAAGCGTGGGGTATCACCTATTCCTCTAATGATGGGATTCTTCTTAGAGCATGAACAATGCACCGACACGGTGAGTGGTTTTAGCTCGCCAAAAACGGAGCGACTGCTCCACGTTGTCCTCTGGCGTGCACTCTGGAGCTACACGTGTCCTCGACAAAGGATTTTAGTCATTCTCAGTTTGTTGATTTCACAAATTAATTAAATGTCATGTTGGAGGGCTGAGAATATAGCATTTTATCCCTAGCCCCAATTCCCGCATAAATTAAACTTTTTTAATGTTCACTCCATAATGTTAGAGCAAGTTTAAGGCCATTCCCAACGCAATAACTAGGATGGTGTTTATAGCATTAAATAAGATGCCAACTAGGATGAAAAATGATGTGGCAAGTGAATAAATAAGGAAAGAGAAGGAAATCATGTCTTGCATGAGACATAGTTTCTACACGACATCCAAGATATCATGTGAGATAAGTAGCATTAAAATTAAGTATGGAATAGTGGTATTTGCATTGGAAGAGTAGTTTCTTGATGATGTGGAGTTTATGGAAACTATATCTAGTATCTTGGGTTGGGAATGGCCTAATAGTATAACCAACTACTAGCTGCAAAATAACTATAGCCAACTTAATAGCCAATTCATACAAAAATTACCTATAAACATACACTTACATGGTCCCACCCATCATACACGTATTCTGTCTTGGAGTCCGTGTTGCAGCTGCCTACAAATCTGTAACCTGCTGCTCTTCTCTCTCCTCTTTTATCTTCTCGGTATGTGGTTATAGTTGGCTTATATTCTGCTATTGTACCTGCTCTTACAACGACTACCGGTTGTGCTATTTCCCCTTCTTTTCTAACTCACCACTCTTTTTCCGCATGCACCCTTTTTTAAAATTGTTAAATGGTGTTTTTTTTAAAAAGTTTTCTACATGAAAGTTGCTTTAAAAAATAATATTAACCTATTTTTTAAAACAAATATTCAATACTTAATTAGTCATTTTTTCAGTTCAATGTGCGTGGGAGATGAGTTCCCAACTCATTGAGAATAACACAGCCTCCGGAATTAATAAGTTTTGGCACGTGGTACTGTTGCACGCTGCAGTTTTAGCAAGGAATCAAATCTTTCACCAAATCATGTTGTTGAACAACCATGGTGAATGGTCCAATCACTTTCTAGTGTTGTACTACCATTTTAGTCACGTGTTGCGTGTGATAAAATGGAATGCATAAATGTTTTTCAACTAAAAGGACTATTCAAGCTAGTCCGTCAATTTTAGTTTACGACTTTTCCTAGCACCCTTGTAAATAGCCACCCTTTTATGCAGGGACATATTCTTAGGGAATTTGTTTCGCCTTAAGCTTTCATTGTCTGCTTAGGGTGTGTTTAGTTCTTTGGGTGTAAAGTTTTTAAAATATACGGACACACATTTGAAATATTAAACGTATAGTAATAACAAAAACAAATTACAGATTCTGCCTGTAAACTGCGAGACAAATTTATTAAGCCTAATTAAACAGTCATTAGCAAATGTTTACTGTATCATCACATTATCAAATCATGACGTAATTAGGCTTAAAAGATTCGTCTCGCAATTTACATGCAAACTGTGCAATTAATTTTTTTTCCCACATTTAATGCTCAATGCATATGTTCAAACATTTGATGTGACGTTTTTTGCCAAAAATTTTTGGGATCTAAACAAGGCCTTAGTTACCTATTAGCTATAAGCAAAACTTGAATTCTAGTTACCTATTAGCTATAAGCAAAACTTGAATTCGAATCTTAGTTTTGTAGTTGATTTTAGGGTTTTTTATAGTTTATTTTTTACATGGGGTTTTAAATCGTAAAACGTATAGATAGATATAACCTTTTTATCCATACATAATATGGTTGATTTTTTTCAAGGCTTCTCAATCTTAACTCTACGGATAAGTCATAATTTGCCGCATACGGCAACACATTGAGGCGGACTTCTACCTAATTAAAAACCATCGCTCTCAAGATGGTAAAATTCG